AAATTATCAACTATTTATGTACATCATAAAGAAAAGTTTACTTATATTACATATATGTAAATAATTATGTAAATTCTGTATTGTATTGTGTACTATGAGTATGAAATAAAGCATTATTATTATATTATTACTTCTGGTGATAATGAAAATGTTTAATTAGTTTTCTGAAATCAGAAATGGCATCATCACATGGTGAAAATTTTATGTAAATCGAATAATAATTTTCACTTTTATGGGTTCATTCTATTTGTTGATTGGAATCAAATATCATAATTTCAAAGACTCATTTGAATAAATATCTGTTTTGAAGGCTAAAAATACATTTTTGGGCAAAATTAAATTACTTCCGGTGATACTATAGATACGTTGCCAGGCAACAAAACATATGCCCACAGCAGCTAAATCGTTTGAGTGGTCGACAAGAGTTGTCGTATATTTATTCTTTTGTAGGTAGACAATTTCATACAGATGACATTATAATTTTCGTCGTTTGAGGATTCACACGGTTCTAAAAACTAAAACAAGGGCTGTAACTATGGAAGTTATCTACAGAAATTGTTGAAATTCGACAGGCTTTTTTCGTTTTACCAATTCAAATAATGCATATAATTTCATACAGATCGGATGATAACTTTTGTCGTTCGAATGTTCACAAGGTTCAACAAAGTAAAACAAGGGCCATAACTCTAGAAGTAATTGACAGAAATTGCTGACATTCAATAGGCTTCTTCATTTCACTAATTTAAGTGATGCATATGAATTTCATACAGATTGGGTGATAACAAACAAGGGCCATAACTCACGGTGTAATTAACGGAAATTTCTGAAATTCAAATTTGTTTTACTAATTTAAATGATGCATATAAATTTCATACAGATCGGTTGATAACTTTTGTCATTAGAGCGTTCACAAGGTGCAAAAAAGTGAAACAAGAGCCATAACTCCAGAAGAAATTAACGGAAGTTATTGAAATTAAATAGGCTTCTTCATCTCACTAATGCAAACAACATATATCAATTTCAAAACAATCAGATGATAAATGTAGTCTGTAGAGTGTTCACAAGAAATTGTTTTATAACATCGTCTGACATTAGGCATCACATGGTGAAAATTTTATGAAAATCGAATAACAATTGACACTTTTATGGACCAAAAACCTTCAAAAGTAACTTGTATGATATATATATGACCGCATGAATTTTATTAATATGTGAATTTAAACCAAAAGTTAAAATTGTTAATACATATTAATACATGCTTTGAAATCAGATTCCGGAATGTTTAGTTCTTTGGCGAATAGCAAAGCTTTTTCACGAGGCATAGGACCGGAGATCGACACATCTTTGCCACGCACACGCTGAAACCACGTCTACATCAGAGTGTTTAATTCTTCCATCGGCGAGCGAACACAGAGGCGTTTCCTGTTGCTGTCTCTTTTTTCTTCGTATCCATCAAGAATTTCTGCCTTTCTTTTCAAAATCATCTGTACCTGGGTCTTACCAATTCCAAATTCTTCGGCCAATTGTCTTTGGCTTCTACCCTCACTCTTTTTGATAAGTTCTACTTTTGCTTTTAGGGTTAATTCTACACGAGTACGCTTACTATGGGTTTTTTCCATTACGCAGGTGAAGGTCGAATAAGAAATAATACATTTGACAAAATTTACTCGTACATACAGATGAAGGCCGAATAAGAAATGATAATCTACAAAATTTACTCGTATAAATAGTAAATAAATGATTAGTTTATAACCTAATCATTATTCATTTCTTTGTTTAAATTAAACACCCAATGAGAAATTCCATTGTTTAAAAAACGAAACCAACAAAGAAAGATTAGCGGCTCGTTAAATGGCTGCGATGAAATCAATCTACCACGAATGTTTGATTGCTTTGATCTTGGTCGTTAGATTGACTAATATGTGGTCGTATACGTGAGTTGCCCGTAATACTGAGTTGGTCGTTAAGCGGGATTTCACTGTAGTTTTAAATTTTCATTTAAAGATGGGTTCCCGCGTACAAACTGAGTGATTTAATGGTATATATGGACTAAAAACATATTCAAACTAATTAATTTCTCATAATTATGCTTCAAATCCTTCTCAAAAATTGTAATTGCGAAGGAATGCCCTGCTATTAAAATTCGATCAAACCAGGTCATGTTTACGTCAGGTCTTGGAAGTCACAGGAGAATACATTTCATACATAATACGATGTTGTCTTTAATCGCTTACTATTTATTACAAATATCGAATCCTAATTAAATTCTCGGATTATCCTCTACCCGCTTCTTTTTCCGTCATTTTATATCTCAGAAAGTGTTGTACGTCTAATTCTTCATAACGTTTATCAACTTGTACATCAAGCGCTCAATGTTCACATGTGACCTTTGACATCACGCGTGCAGAAATCCTTAATCGTCGGGCTGTTCATTAGGAGAACCCTTACATTTTTGTCCTGTATACGCTCGATGAATGTTTTTCGGGGAATCCAATATTTTTCTAGTAAGATTGGATATCTCTACTTTCCATATATACCAAAATTGCCATACTTTTATTGGAAATAACCACCCGATAAATACTTTTCTGGGAACCCATCTTTAAGAATTGTACATTTTTCTATGAAAAGTTTCCAGAAATGTTTGCGCGAGTAATGCCTTACTCTCGCGAATTACATTTCAGCCGAGTATAGCGTGCGCGCGAGTAATGACTCACGCCTCCTGACGTGGTCTGTATTGCTGTCGCCTCCTGACGTGGTCTGTATTACTGTCGCCAAAATGCTCTAAAGGTGAACAACGGGAATAATTGTAAGCATCTCTTACAAATAAAATCAAAATTTATATCATTCTATCAGGGATTCAGATTCTGATACCTTTACGGTACCTGAAAATAACTATAGGCCTATTGTACACGCAACACATAAATTTATAGAAAATTGGCTAAAGTCACCCAAAAAAAAAAGGATCTTATTAAATCCAAAGTTGTTGTATATTGTATGTATATATCGGTAATTGTTTTAGAATATTAATAAGCCTAGCTGAGAGTGAGACATAAAATCGTTAGATGTTGTCTTTTTTATCACACATTTTTGGCAGATAAAATTTCCAGTTGGCGGAAAAAAAATATCGACATTTTTTTATATGAAAATTATCCTCCATTTTGGCGGAAAAAAATTGAAAGCCAGTGTGAGCCCTGAATTCAACACAGCCTTATACCACTGTCAGACCGGGGTGGCGTCTTTACTTTGCTGCTACGGCTAAGGAAAATGGCTTTAGAGAGGGTTAAGATCGCCATAAGCGTGGTGGAAACGCCAGATATTGTGCTTTGGTCACCATGGTTGCGATCTGAACTGGAAAGGTATGAGAACACAACGTTTTTTAAGTTTGTAATTTTTTGAGACATTTTCGCGCGTTTGGCTCAGGGCTTCCACTTCAAAATTTTCACTACCGGTCATTTTTGATAACGCACAAAAACTTTTCAAAGTAAATTCATATTTCATGTTTTTTATTCATGGTATGGTATTGTGAATTCACGTGTCTATACCACTTTGTCACCATGGGGTACACAAAAAAAAATATATTTGACTTAAAAATGAAATATTAGTAAGGCTTATGATAATTATTTATTAATTAATAAATATTCCATTTTGGCTACTTAAATAACGAAATAGTTGAATTGGCCGTAGAAAAACCATTTCAGTAGCTCACATGTAATTACCACATGCTCCATAGGAAATACACTGACCTGGATAATTTTGAGTTGTAACACAATAACTTCGATATGAAGATAAATATATAATTATCCACGGCATATTTCTCACATTTATTGGTTTTAAGACCATCTCTTACGGAATTACGGGTCGCAGAATTGTGACGTAAATCCTAATAATGTATAACTAAATGACAAACGGATAACTAACTTCACGGCTAGCGACACTAGCGCCCCTTAGAATATGGTCGTGTATAAGAGTAACCGTATATACACGACATTTCTTCTACACGTGGAATTATCAATTCAATATTGTTGCACAATAGAACTGGAATACGTATTTTTCTTAATTGTTCGGTAAGCAAGTTAACTAATCTCTAGATTTTATTTCAACAATTTCCAAAAGGCCATAATACCGCTATAAACATTTTATTTTTAAATGCATTTTTCTTCGAACACGTACGTTGTTGAGGATTTACGTAATTTCTATGTTGTTTTTATTTTATATGACAGTTGGTTGGATTTTATATCAATTGCCTTTTTTCGAAGCTCATAATAACCTCGTTTACATCGTGCCTGACCGTAATAGCGGTAAACGGCTTTGATGTTGAAAATTCTTCTGACACGTGGACAATACGTGAATGATTAACAATGGACCGCTTCACGCCGTTGATTAGATTCCCACTTATCAATTAACTTTTATTGTTCTCTACCAGACACTCATCATTAATTATCAACACACCACTCAGTATAATCTGTTGACGACTATTGTATTTATACAACTCTATAACACCAATCACGAGATTGGCTTCTATATGTGTGCATTCTTGTATAGTTACATAGTAGAGGTCGATTGTAGCCATTTTGAAAATTGGGTTTTGGAAAAAAAAGACACTCTTTCCGGCGTGCAAAATGACCGTTAGGTCAGATCTATGAACGGTCATTTGCCGTCTCGACCGGCATATACAGCCGACGTGGAACCCATGGTTTGGTTCACGTTTGCCGGCGATCTTGTGCATTTTCTGGTTGCTGTACGGTCACCGCAGGGCAGTAAGGATGCCACCCCAGTCTGACGGGGGCATAATCACTAATACTCTGGTTTTACTGTATCCAGTTTATTATGGTTTTGGATTCCTCTCTTATTTTGAGTCAGGTCAATTTTTGTAAATAACCAATGTTTCTATAAGCTCATTTCAATAAACCGAGCTGTAAAAGTCTGGGTTATGAAAGAGGTTTTAGCAGTGATACATAATTTTCTACAGTTGCAACTTGAAAAGATTTCAAACAACTTACCCTTTCTATAATTATGTTAGGAATTTCTGGCAAAAAATCTTCAACAATAGTCCTGTACAAAGCCTTTTCACATTTAGCTTCACTTTCACGGAAAAATTCAGATAAATTCTGCCAGTCTTCAAGAGTTGAACAAACCATGTGCCACCTCGAAACATGGCGTGGTTCAATAACCTCAACAGGTTTTTCGTCCTCTGATTTGGAATCTTCTATTGAAGCAGGAGAATCATCTAATAATTCCATGTCTGAAAAAGACATTCTAAACTCGTAATTCAATAAGATACATATGTACATGTACTAGGTAAATCCCACTACTAAATTAAAGTTGAACTCCGATTCAAAAACTACAGAAATAATTAAATAAAAAGACAAGTTGCCAGGTAACAAAACATACGCCCATAGAAGCTAAATCGTCCGAGCGGTCGACAAGGGTTGTCGCATATTTATTCTTTTGTAGGTAATTAGTGGCATTTAATAAGACAACTTCATACAGACGACATTATAATTTTCAATGTTAGAGCGTTCACAAGGTTCTAAAAACTAAAACAAGGGCCGTAACTCTGGAAGTAATCTACAGAAATTGTTGAAATTCAACAGGCTTTTTCGTTTTACTAATTCAAATAATGCATATAAATTTCATACAGATCGGATGATAACTTTTGTCATTCTAACGTTCACAAGATTCAACAAAGTAAATCAAGGGCCATAACTCTAGAAGTAATTGACGGAAATTTCTGACATTTAATAGGCTTCTTCTGCATATGAATTTCATACATATTGGGTGATAATTTTTGTCGTTCAAGCGTTCACCAGATTCAACAAAGTGAAACAAGGGCCATAACTCTAGATGCAAGTAACGAAATTTGCTGAAACTAAATAGGTTTGTTCGTTTTACTAATTTAAACGATACATATAAATTTCATACAAATCGTATAATAACTTTTGTTGTTAAAGCATTCACAACGTACAACAAAGTTAAACAAGGGCCATAACTCACGGTGCAATTAATGGAAATTGCTGAAATTCAATAGGCTTCTTCGTTGCACTAATTTAAATGATGCATATCAATTTCAAACAGATAGTGTGATAACTGTTGTGATTAGAGCGTTCACAAAATTCAACAAAGTGAAACAAGGGCCATAACTCTAGATGTAATTAACGGAAATTGCTGAAATTCAATAGGCTTCATTGTTTTACTAATCTAAATGATGCATAGAAATTTCATACAGATCGGATAATAACTTTTGTGGTTAGAGCATTCACAAGGTACAACAAAGTGAAACAAGAGCCATATCTCCAGAAGAAATTAACGGAAGTTATTGAAATTAAAAAGGCTTCTTCATCTTACTAATACAAACAACATCTATCAATTTCAAAACAATCAGATGATAAATGTAGTCTGTAGAGGGTTCACAAATTGTGGAAGACAGACGGATGGACGGACGGACTGGGGCAATTGCAATATACAACCACATTTCGATGTGGGCGTATAAAAAAGGTAACGCCCAAAACAATCACCATACTTGTTTTCAATTTCTAGAACTAATATGGCGATCGCTTTGGGCAGACAAACACACTTTCAGTATATACCGTGTGCCTACGATTTTAATGAATATTCACATGATACGATAAACATTTGAAAAATCCAGTAAACTCTAAATGTGCTTCCACAAGTAAACAACTGACTCCTTTTACTTACCTTTATCATGATAATATTACTACACTTTTTATCTTGCTGTCACCAAATTTTGAAGGTGTGTGTGGGTGTGTGTGTGTGTGTGTGTGTGTAACTCGGCGTGTTTAAGTGGTGGCGCTTGCTGTTGAACTTTGAAGAATGATCATTTCTTATCACAGTCAATTGATTCTCGGCTGATTTGAATATGGTATATACAATACTTGTTTATTAGTTTGTTAGCGAAAATAACGAAGCTGGCTGACACGAAAGTATCTTTCTAGATGACCGGAGATAGCATTGTACACATTTTTAACATTACAAAAATGAAGTTTAATAGCCCGCGATGTATTGATTGACCGATGTAGATAGCTAGGCCTACATTAGAAAAGAGGTTGATAAAGGGATTGTCGAGTTGACAGATTGATCCATTTTCCGAGACCGCACCAAACTGAGTTTTCAAACCTGTTCATTAGTTAATTAACTTGTGCTAACTTTTACATTTCAAACAAGCAAACAGCGAGGCTGATGTCCCCCGCCGAAATCCCAAAATAAATAGATGACACATATTAATTAATCGCACATTTATTTGTTTAAAAGTATCAAGCAGTCAAACTGATTATCAAATATACACTGCGTTTCATCACTCTCTATCAGATAGAATCAAAGTTATCTTGTCCCAAAGCATCGACCAATGAAATTGCTTAACTCTGCTTAGCTTTAGCTCGAAATGTTAATCATTGAACACAGTCAAGACATTTACCTAATGAACATCTACACCAATTTTAAACATTCTACATCAATTAAAAGCAAAGTTGTTATGTTCCAAAGTCTTGACCAATCAAATTGCTTATTGCTCCTTAGCCTAAACAGAAAATTCTAATCATCGAATTTGGTCAACTTAGTCAAGGTAATGATATGATGAATCTATACTTTCATCACTCTCACTTAAATATAAACCAACGATATCGTGCCCCAAAGCATCAACCAATCAGATTGCTTATCTCTGCTTACCGTAAGCAGACAATGTTTATCACCGAACTCCAAAGCATCAACCAATCAAATTGCTTATCTCTGCTTACCCTAAGTAGGAAATGCTAATCTTCAAACTCCATCAAGGTATTGACCTAATAGACACCTACACCAAGTTTGAACAACGTAGCTCAATTAGAAGGAGAGTTATTGTGTCCCAAAAAGTGGGATGGACAGACAGACAGACGGACATTTTAATAGTTGGCACAGGAAAAACTGGGTGGTAAGTGTCTCTCCTTGATGTGTCTTAGCAGATGGCATCTTTTGGATGTTGGAAGAATAGTTGCTATGACGTCGGGTGTCATATTGTGACGTAAAGTCACGGTGACTGTTCCGTGAAATAGTATGAAGACAGGCGATACGGTGGCACCTTTGGTAAGTTTGGGAGGCTAAAAGATATCTAAAGTTGGGACACCCAGTGGGGAGGGTTGTAAAACAAAGAAAACAAGATGACTAGTCATCACCATCCCGCCCCCTTGCACGGAAGGCATAAGGAAAAACAACTTCTTGGAATATCAATGGGACTAGTCAGAAGATTTATACTCTGATCACAGTAGCTCGGCAAGGCAGGGTCGTTATTCACTATAAGGTTTGCACAACAACCTTTGCCTACCTCAATCAGCTACTGTATGTTAAACAATAAGGTTATACATCAGAAAACAAATAATATAATACAATAGCTTGATGCTTGTACAAAGTTTCAAAAAGATATCTTGAATGGTTTATGAGATACGCCCGGAAACAAAATTGTACACCAAAAACTAAGTCATTTTTGTTTCCATGGATACACAAAAAATATAAATCTCAGGAATTCCTAAATAGCAAAAGGCACAACTACTGTAATAAGTTGATGAGGACAGTAGTTCAGCATGTCAGGGTTACACCATCAGTTGCGGCCAGAGCCCAGACAAATCTCATATTCCGACACATGGAATATCAATTTATAGAATTTCATACTCTGATCACAGTAGCTCGGCAAGGCAGGGTCGCTTGTTCCTGTAAGGTTTGCACAACAACCTTTGCCTACCTCAATCAGCTGCTGTATGTTAAACAATAAACTTATCAGAAAATAAAATACTATAATAGGTTAATGTTTGTACAAAGTTTCAAAAAGATTTCTTGAACAGATAATAAAATATGCTCCAGAAACAAAATCAGGACGGAAGGCTGGATTTCAGAAAATAAAATGATGGGTTGATGAATGTAAAATTATTTTAAAGTTATCTTGAACAGTCAAATGTGTTTCCATGGAAACACGTAAAATTATCAAATCTGAGAAATTCAAAATAAGTGCCAAGAAGATATCTTGAACGATTTATGAGATATGCTCCGGAAACAAAATTGTACACCAAAAACTAAGTCAAATTTGTTTCCATGGAAACACATAAAATATCAATCCCAGAAATTCCTAAATAGCAAAAGGCACAACTACTGTAATGGGTAGATGTGTGTACAAAGTTTAAAAACGATATCTTGAACGGTTTATGAGATATGCTCCGGAAACAAAATTATACACCAAATTTGTTTCCATGGAAACAAAAAAATATAAATCCCAGAAATTCCTAAATAGCAAAAGGCACAACTACTGTAATAGGTTGATGTGTGTGCAAAGTTTCAAAAAGATATCTTGAACGGTTTATGAGATATGCTCCGGAAACAAAATTGTAGTTGTACACCAAAAACTAAGTCAAATTTGTTTCCATGGAAACACAAAACCAGCGGCTGCCAGGCAGGATACGCCCACATTTTCGAGAGATGGATAGAGAACAAGCTAAAAAGAAAGTGATTTTTCCTACAATCAAGGGCCATAATTCAGGAAATTACAATTCGATATGCGCAAATATCGAAAGGAACCAAGATCTTTGTGTTATAAACTTATATTTCAAGTTTCAACAAAATCGGATAAAAATTGTGACCTCTATAGGGTCCACAACCTTGATTTACCATATTTTTTACGCTATTTGAGAACGAACTGAAGCCATTTTGTCTCTCAATTTTGGGCCGATTTACACGAAATTCGAACTCAGTGATCCTTAAAGTGTAACGGTGATATAATAATACGGCTTTTTAAATCGGATAAAAATTATGACCTCTATAGGGTCCACAAGCTAAAAACGCAATTTTTGGTACAATCAGGGGCCATAATTCAGGAAGTTACAGTCCGATGTGCACGAATATCGAAAGGAACCGAGATCTTTGAATTATCAACTTAAATTTCAAGTTTCAACAAAATTGGATAAAAATTGCGACCTCTATAGTGTCCACAACATTGATATACCATATTATTACACTATTTGAGAACAAACAGCGGCCATTTTGTCTGTCAATTTCGGGCCGATTTTCACGAAATTCGAACTCAGCCATCCTTAAGGTGTAACGGTGATATATTAATACGTTTTTTTAAATTGTGGACGGACGGACAGGGGCGATGGCATAATACGTCCACATGAAAATGTGGGCGTATAAAAACTTGTCTTGCAATGAGTTGGGGGTATACCCCCTTTTTATACGCCCACATTTTCATGTGGACGTATATTGTAGTCGCCCCTGTCCGTCCGGACGTCCACAATTTGTTTGTGGACACTCTACAGGTCACAATTCTTATCCGATTTTTATGAAACTTGAAATATAGGTTTATCCCCAAAAGATCTCGGCTGCTTTCGATATTGGCATGTATCGGACCAAAACTTCATGGATTATGTCCCCTGATTGTACGAAAAATCACGTTTTTAGCTTGTGGACCCTACAGAGGTCACAATTTTAAACCGAAGTTATGTTCCGATGGGCACAAATATCGACAGGAACCAAGATCTTTGGGTTATAAACATGCATGACAAGTTTCATCTAAATTGGTTTAAAACCGGTTTATAACCCAAAGATCTTGATTATTTCTGTAATCCAATTTAAATATGGTCGCCCATCGTTCTCAAATAGCGTTAAAAGTTCTTGATTCTGATTGGCTAAACATGCACATTATCTTAACAACCCTTTGATTTTGAAGAGGTTCACAGTAAACTAATATGAATAACTTTGATTTTACTGAACAACACATAAATAGCAAACATAATCACCGCAAACAAGATTGAGTTGTAAACATCCTGTTGCTAGAATAGTTACCTCCCTTTAAATATGAATTTGAACATCCAGGCACAAAATTTTCAAAGTAAATGAAAGCGTGTGGTAAATGACCAGTTAACAGTTGCATAAATTCATGTAAAAAGAGTTCATGAAACATCGTTAAATATTTAGTATATGAGCAGAAATTTTTACTTATGATGTTAATGTTTTTACTATCACAAGAAACTTTAATTATAAACAAATCAAAACCTACCATTCGCTTCTTTTTCAACAACCTTCTCATCTCCATTTTCATTTTCATCATCTTTATTAGCTGTTTCTACTTCAAATTCCTGAATAACTTCTTCATATTCAGGTTCAATTTCCCCTAATGGAAGGACGGCTTCATCAGGTTTGGGGACAGCTTTTTCAGATTCAGGGACAGTTTTTTCAGGTTCCATGGCAGCTTCTTCAGGTTCAGGGACAGCTTCTTCATGTTTTTTTTTAGTCAGTCTGTTGTCATTCTGTTTTTCAACTTCATGGATGACATCATTCACAACTTTATCTACTTCAGCTTTCACCTTTTCATCAGCTTCACACTGAACTTCATCTTTTATTTCATCTTTAACCTCCACATGAATGCCCTTAGCATCTGTAGTCTTATGTTTAATGTCGGTAGTTTCTATTTTATTTTTTCCATCTATAATATCTTCTTCTTTCCTTTCTGATATTTTCTTATCATCTTCTGCCTTCACCCCAATAATCTCTGACACCCTATCAGCTAAAGTTTCTTTTTTGGTTGCAAATTCATTTTTCTCAATTTTCACTTTAATGTCTGATAAAGTATTTGTCACTGTAGATTTAATTTCTTCTGCACTTACACAACTATTGTCTACTGCATCTGCATTTGCGGATTCTTGAGTACCTTTTGACAATGGATCATTTACAAAAGCTGATTTGGTTTTGGTTCCTTCTGACAACTCTTCTTCCTGATTATAGTTTTCTTCAAACCCTTCATCTTCATTATCATATCCGGTTTGTTCTTCATTTTCTAAAGCTATTAAAGATTTCTTTGTATTGCATTTGCTCTTTCGTAACAATTTAGGACTAGCTCTTAATTCTCTTGGCTTTTCTTCTGGACTTGCATCTTTCCTTTAAAATAGATATAAATCTCTATTACTCTGACATACATATATTCCAGAAAGTTCTCAGATTAATCAAAAGCGTAACATATAGTATTAGAACTCAGTAAGAAATACATTTGTGAACTAAATACGCTTTTTTTTTATATTTATACAAGACCAGAATTTATTTTAATTGTCATTCTAGCAGATAGCCTATTTGCAAACAATAACACAAAGGATAATTAACCAACGGGGGCACACATATAAATGATATCGTAATAACGCAAAAGTGTCAATAATATAGAAGTCATAACAACATTCATATACAAGAACTGAAGCACATTTAATAAATCTACACATTTAGTAGAGAATCCATATCAATAACACAGAATCTAACCTATCATGCGTGATACAAATACAGTAAACTTCGCGTAAGTCGGATCTAAGTGGACTGACCAATTTTATCCGAGTTAAGCGAAGATCCGAGTTAGCCGAAGAATGAAATTCAATCTTAGCTCGATTAGAAATAAACTGCAAGAGCCGGATAATATTGATTCAAAGGCACATTTTAAGCTTTTGTTCATATGCGCGAGTAGATAACTTTTGTTGCCATCTTTGGAAAATGTCCTAATTTTTCCCGGAAAGTGTCTTGTACAGTAGCAGACAGCAAGTTTTGAATTTTCCGGAAAAATTCTATTATTGCGTCGTGTCAAATATGCTGATTTGAGTCAAAATGATAGAGGAAAGTATTTCATGGGGCTCTGCATGGAATATCTAACCGCGTTTTAGACCATCAGGACGAAACTGACAGTGAAATTCTGAACATACTGCCGATCTGACTTAAGCGAGGGAAAAAAGCTGGAATTAGATCAAATGGACCGAACATTTTGATCCAAGTTGAGCAAGATTTATCCCCCAAAGATCTCGGCTGCTTTCGATATTGGCATGTATTGGATCGAAACTTCATGGATTATGGCCCCTGATTGTACGAAAAATCACGTTTTTAGCTTGTGGACCCTATAGAGGTCATAATTTTTACCCGATTTTAAAAAAACGTATTATTATATCACCGTTACACGCTAAGGAAAGCTGGGTTCGAATTTCGTGAAAATCGGCCCAAAATTGACAGACAAAATGGCCGCTGTTGGTTCTCAAATAGCGTAAAAATATGGTATATCAAGGTTGTGGACCCTATAGAGGTTACAATTTTTATCCGATTTTGTTGAAACTTGAAATGTAAGTTTATACCCAAAGATCTCGGTTCCTGTCGATATTTGCGCAGAAAATAGAAATTCAATACCTCTTCATCAATTCTACACCCAAATGTCAATACAGATAGGCAATCAAAATGGCAAAAAAGAAACGAGACGGACACCAAATCAGGCAGAACATAGATATTCAATACCTCTTCATCAATTCTACACCAAAATGTTAATACAGATAGGCAAACAATATGCCATAAAAGGAGGGAGAAAAATATATCTAAAAATAACCGGCACTACCGAGATATGCAAAATTAATAGTGTTCTGCATCCATCTAGCCACATCAGCTACCAAACGATAATTTACTTGTTTTGATTCAATGACACCCGACGGAGAAATCTCATTTTTCGCCAGAGTACCAATCTTTTACTGGTTTTTTTTTCTCTCAAAATATCGAATATGTAACGATATTTAGCAAATAATTGCTAATCCGAGTCCATTTTGTTAGGAGTACTTACCTCCCTTATACCGTTACAAGCGTTATGACTCATATTGGGAGTTTTTTACTTTTTTTCAAAGATTGGGGCTCTTTTTTTGACCATTTATGCTATATTGACCCTTTTAGGTTTGCATTCACACCCTAAACCACTGTTGGGATCCTAAGTAACCGAAGTTTAAGAAACAAATTTATAGTAGTTTTCGTGATAAAAGCGTCTGAATAGGCTCTAAAAAGGAAAATTCTAGATTTTCAGCGTCCAATAATCTATTGCCTTAAGCATCAAATTAAAATCCAATGATTATTGTTAAAATTACTGAAATATTTCTAAAAACGATAGCTTCGGTGATTTCGATCATTTTGCATTGTCGCAGAACGTTCAAAATAGCTTTATCCTCTAAGTCACACCGAAGAAATCGTAACGATCCGACAAGCAGTTGCTGAGATCTAATCAAAAATAAATTGGAATGATAATAATAATAACTAGAACTGCGATGCAGTAATGACGGGTTTCACCGGTGCCACGTTACCCTAAACATGTCACTACCGGTACCAATGAAACCATTAAACAGGTTTCCACAAAAGCATTGCACACATCAAATAAAATGGACGGCGAATCAACCAAATCCAGCAATATCAATTCATTTTATACATTTGTTACATATCACTTCCGGTGATAATGAAAATGTTCAATTAGTTTTATGAAATCAGAAATGGCATAAGGCATCACATGGTGAAAATTTTATGTAAATCGAATAATAATTGTCACTTTTATAGACCAAAAACATTGAAAAGTAACTTGTAGAAAATCGTCTATTTCTCTGCAACCGTACAAGTTAGAAACCATTTTCTGGTATCTGTATGATCGTATGGGTTCAAGCTATTTGCTGATTGGAATCAAATATCATAATTTTAAAAACATTACAAATCAGACTCATTTGAATAATATATCTGTTTTAAAGGCTAAAAGTACAGTTTTTGCCAAAATGACGTTACCTTCGGTGATAATGAAAATCTTAAATTACTTGAATGGAATGAAATCGTAAATGGTGTTAGGTATCACACAGTGAAAATTTCATGAAAATCGAATAATAATTGACACTTTTATGGACAAAAAAACTTGAAAAGTGCCCTGTTGAAAATTGCCTATTTCTCCGCAACTGAACAAGTTAGAAACCATTTTGTGATATCTATATGATCGTATGGGTTCATTCTTTTAGTTGATTAGAATCAAATATCAAAATCTTAAACAAACAACAAATACGACTCATTTGAATAAATTATTTGTTTCGAAGGCTATAAATACAGTTTTGTCCAAATTTCGTCATTTCCGGTGACATTGAAAATGTTAAATTGAGTTGAACTAGTCACAATTGACATTATGCATCAAATGAGTTCACTTTTATGAAAATCCAATAATAATTGACTCTTTTACAGGCACAATAGCGTAAAGAGTGACTCATACAAAATTGACCATTTCTCGGCAACTGCGCATATTACAAATTAATTTTCACATACATTCTCTCTGTATAGATTATTGCTACGAGTTTATGAAAGTTACGAAGTAATATTTTAAAATATGAAAACGCTGGATGGGTTGTAAATAGCTTAATTTTACACCTTTTTTCACCTTTTACTCGAAATAGCCCGAAAACGGAATCGAAATTAAAAAAACTGGGTACAACATTTTGTGCGCCTTTAAAGGGCGCACCCTTTCAGTTATACCAGATTTGAAAAAAATAATATTTGCTTTCGAAAAGTGGTACCTAACTGTCAAAATTGTAGTTTTTGGTAAAATTACGCCACTTCCAGTGCCGACAGATAACTCTATCGGTAACAAAAAAAATGGCAATTGAGACAACGGAGCATATGCACTTTGTTTTATACAAATCGAACAATAAATAATTAATCTAGGACTGAAAAACTGAATTAGTCAATGGCGGCCGAGGAAAATTACTGAGACAAAAAAAATTCAGATTTTTGCTCAAGTCAGATGACGCGTTAATTTTGCGTAAAACACGCAAAAATGTATCGAAAGTTAAAATCCAATGATTATTGTTAAAATTACTGAAATATTTATAAAAACGATAGCTTCGGTGATTTCGGATTGTCACAGAATGTTCAGAATAGCTTTATCCTCTAAGTCACACCCACTTTTCCAGTTAAACTGAAGAAATCGTAACGATCCGACAAGCAGTTGCTGAGATCTAATCAAAAATAATTTGGAATAATAATAAGAAGAAGAAGAACTAGAACTGCGATGCAGTAATGACGGGTTTCACCGGTGCCACGTTACCCTAAACATGTCACTTCCGGAACCAATGAGACCATTAAACAGGTTTCCACATAAGCATTGCACACATCAAATAAAATGGACGCCGAATCAACCAAATCCAACAATATCAATTCATTTTATACATTTGTTACATGTAAGTGTACAGTACTTCCGGTGATAATGAAAATGTTCAATTAGTTTTATGAAATTAGAAATGACATAAGGCATCGCATAGTGAAAATTTTATGTAAATCGAATAATAATGGCCACTTTTATAGACCAAAAACCTTGAAAAGTGACTTATAGAAAATCGTCTATTTCTCTGCAACCGTACAAGTTAGAAACCATTTTCTGGTATCTGTATGATCGCATGGGTTCAATCTATTTGCTGATTGGAATTAAATATCATAATTTTAAAAACATTACAAATCAGACTCATTTGAATAAAATATCTGTTTTGAAGGCTAAAAATACAGTTTTTGCCAAAATGACGCTACTTCCGGTGATAATGAAAATCTTAAATTACTTGTATGAAATCGTAAATGGTATTAGGTATCACACAGTGAAAATTTCATGAAAATCGAATAATAATTGACACTTTTGTGGACAAAAAACCTTGAAAAGTGACCTGTTGAAAATTGCCTATTTCTCCGCAACTGAACAAGTTAGAAACCATTTTGTGATATCTATATGATCGTATGGGTTCATTCTTTTAGTTGATTAGAATCAAATATCAAAATCTTAAACAAACACTAAATACGACTCATTTGAATAAATTATTTGTTTCGAAGGCTATAAATACAGTTTTTGCCCAAATTTCGTCATTTCCGGTGACATTGAAAATTTTTAATTGAATTGAACTAGTCACAATTGACATTATGCATCAAATGGTGTCACTTTTATGAAAATCCAATAATAATTGACTCTTTTACAGGCACAATAGCGTAAAGAGTGACTCATGCAAAATTGACCATTTCTCGGCAACTGCGCATATTACAAATTAATTTTCACATACATTCTCTCCGTATAGATTATTCCTACGAGTTTATGAAAG